GGTATGTTATTTCTAAGACCCTAAAGCACCTTTCAAGATAAAAAGATTTTTTTTTTGTCAATATCATCGAATACCTCGTTTCATCGTCTACGGTATTCACCGTTGCCAATGCGCAAAGAACCATAAATCGTTCGCAAAACTTTTCACTCGAAAACTCCTAGAGTCGACTCATCAGATGTTGTCATCGTCCATGCTTCCGCATCATACAGCAGGACGGGAATGATGAGCGACTCGTAGAGTTTGGTTTTTGTTCGCTAAGAGAGTGACTTACTTTTTAATTGCCTACTCAGTCCAAAGTAGCACCTGTTGGCAGGAGTAAATCTGCGTCGGATTTAAGGCTGACCTTATTGTTGGTGTTAACTCTAGTTCCAAGATAGACAAAACTATTTATATACAAATGCAAGGATCTGACTGTTCATAGTGACTTCGGATTCAAGTCGTGAATCCGATGACTGTTTGTTTGAATATAGGATATATTTCGTCTAGTCCTCGCTCATTAACAGACCCGTACGCTTCGTTACCTTATCCATTCTAGAGAAACCAGAACTCACGGCGCGATTCTTGACGCCAGTGATATAGAAATTACCGGCGTACGCCAGCAGTTGTACACTCTTATATAAGATTGTACCTCTCTATGCTGGTCTGTAGTTCGTATTATTTGCTACATCAATAAATTCAGAGGGTCGTACGATACGGAATCACCTTTTCTGAAAACTTATTTGGTAACGAACGGTTCGAACCCGATTGAACGTCAGTAAAAAAATTGCATCATAAGTTTTTCGGGGATACTAAAATCAGATATGGTGGCCTAGATGCAGCTCCTTTTCATGATCTCGAAGGCGAAATCGACGAAGAGGTAGTTGGCGACGATCCTCTTTTCACTGTCCTTTTCTATGGTGCATATCTCATCAAATGCTTTGTCGTTTTTCAGGCGAGCAATAGTCGGTCAATGAAACATTTGTTCCAGCGTAATCGATTGGGGAATCGTGTTCGCCGGAGAAGTGTTCTCTCCACAAATTCAGTAAGCTCTGGGCATCAGTCGCTAAAACACCTCTTTGGGTTCTACAAAAGTTTGCTCCGTTCTAAAAGCCTTCTGTAAGTCGTCGTATCTTTTTGCTGAAACTTTCGAGTATTATCCCTGTCGGCTAGCTTATCAAGCTTTTCATACTTATGCGTTTCGACCACTTTTTCTTTTGTCTGCAGATGCGTCTTGCTTTCCATCTTCATCTCTCGGCATCGCACGTGTTGTAGTCGATCGCAAGGTTGCGAGGTAGTCAGTCTGTTTTCTCTCCACTGCAGCACGGCATTCCTTATCGTGCCAGAAGTGTTTTTCTACTGTCACTGCATCTACGCGTCGGGTTCTTGAAATGCCGTCACACAGTTCCCTTATACCGAGTTGCTGATGGGTGCTCTCATAGAGCAGTAGTGCAAGTTTGATGTGATTGTAGCTTTTCGACGATGAAACTTCCTTGTGCTCGTAATTAGTTTTTTAAATTTCATAAAGGTTCCAAAGGGTATGATATGATTTCTATGCGTCGTTTTGGCTATTTTGATATGCCACGATCAGTATTTTTTTTGTCATTGTATTCAGTAATGTTTACAATTTTTTCATGGCAAGATATACGCAAGAGCAACGTTTACAAACACAACAACTTGAATTGTGTTTCACATAAAATAAAAAATAAAAAACATTTGAATTTCCAAAGCAATTAGTGTGAGTTCTTTATTAAAGAAATAATATCACTGCTATTGGAAAACCATATATAACAGTATTCGATTAGTCACCGCAGTAATCATATGTAGTGTTTTAAGTACAAAATAAACCGGCAAATATTTAAAGGAAAGTGAATGCATTTTTTAAAGGGGACTCTCCCCTGTCAATGGGCAAAAATCAGACAAAGTTTTTTTTTTTTTTTGTGGGAGAATGAAAAGTCGCACGAACTTCCGGTTTTTCCTATTAAATTTGTTTATTATTTGAGATCTTAAAACAGCAAACAAATATTCCGTCGACCTCTGCGAGAAATGCATGGTCCAACAACTTCGTCCAACAACCTCGAGCCCACAACCTCTTCTAGTAGACTGAAATCAAAAAAAATGTATCATTACTAGAAGATCATGAAATTTTCTACGTTCTGAACCTCAATTCAAGCAATTTTAACGTTAAATTTTTTGCTATTTTTTCACATCAATAATGTTAAAAAAATAAAATAAAATATAAATAATTAATTATTTATGCTAATCTTAAGTTCAAGACGTACAAAAAACTCTATAATTTGAAACAGTTTTTAGATAAAAGAAATCGGCGGGATAGTTCAAGCCCGGGGCTGTAGTCAGATCGGAAAACATGGTTTGGAGAAAATAAGTTTAATAGTTTTTTGAGAGTTCACAGCGGGACAGGTGTGTTCGAAAAGCTGCCACAGAAAATACTCTGCAAAATACTCTACAAAGATATGACTTTCATTTTTTGCGTAAAAAATCGATTTTTTGATACAAAATCAAGGGGGACCCTTATTCATAATTAATCCCAATCACATATGCAATTTTACTAAATTACCTTTCTTCATCTCCATCGTCTGCCATTTATTAACAAAAAACTGAAACAAGAGCGGTTTTAAAACCCCGTCCATTTCGAAAGTTTTACCGTTTAATGAGTTCTGCAAAGATCGAAACAAATGTTAGGCTAGCGGTGCAAGGTCAGTGCTATATGGTAGATGCATCAATAGTTCACAGCCAAACTCTCTCAGTTTTTGGCGTGTGACCAGAGGTGTAGCATCGTACTGATGGAATATGACAACTTTACGGTTGACCAATTTTGGTCGCTTCTCGTTGATGGATGTTTTTAATTTGTCCAGTTGTTCACAGTAGATATCGAAATAAATCGTTTGGTTACTTAGAAGCAGCTCAAAATATACCACACCCTTCCAATCTCACCAAACTGACAGCATACTCTGTTTATTTTAAGGTGAATATCAGCCTATGAAGTGACTTGTGTCGCCTCATCATGCTAGGACCAAGATCATTTTCAATTTCATTCGATCATTTTTCATACCCAGTTATGATTCGCTTCCAAACGGATCATATTCTTGCGCTTAATGATATGCATCTTGATATGCATTGAAGCGGCTTGTTAAATGAGTTTCTTTCAATTCATGTGGTACCCAATATCAAGTTTTTTTTTTTGCAAGTCCAAGGCGTCGCTTTTGATTATGAGCGGCTGATTTTGGTAGAGTTAAACTCTCTCCAATCTCACGCTCAGCTACATAATGAGCCGATTCGATGGAAGCCTGGATATCGTCATCAACAACTTCACTTGGCCACCGACCTGAAGGTGGCTTATCTTTGAGTGAAAAATCTCCCGCACGGAATTTGACAAACCAACCTCGGGACTGTGTTTCTTTTAAGGCCTCATCACCACAAAAATTATGCGACTTTTTAGCAACCTGCGCGGAAATTTTTTCTTTAAAAGAATAAGGAAGTAAAATCTGACGAAAATGTTCTTTTGTGGGCTCCATATTAAAAATAAGGTTAAACAAGCAAAATATAAACAAAATTACGGGATTTTTTTTTAAAGCAAACTAAAAGTGACAGCTTATAACTGTCAACAGAAAAAATGCAGTTAAATAGTCACAAATTGTACAAAAAAACTTTCAACGCCGTCTGTATCAAAAATTGTCGGCTTTTTTTTTGGGGCAACCCAATAGCGTAAATAAATATATGTATTTATATACATATGTTTAGCCGTAAAAAAAAATTATAAAATAATGAGACATTTCTCTATAAACCAGCTGTAAAAAAGTTCACACATACTTATTAAAAATAAATATTGTATTTACACTCGTATTAACATACAAACATATTTACAATACAAATGACTGTTTTCTCCTTTAAATGACTTATTAACCACAAAACAAGTTTCGCTTCAATAAGTTTTAAAAATAAATACCACAAAATATAACTTCATGCTGTTTAATTATTAATATTTCCCGCTAAAAACGGTTTAGCTGAAATGAAAAAGCTGCGCGTTACGCTTTAATCAGTGGCGAGATTTTCCTATTGGCATTCAACTGTGAATAAGCGTTGCCTCATGAATGTAAATAACATTAGACATACTGTAATTATTGCACCTTTATATGTATATATGTATATATATATACATATATATATGTACGAGTACTCACAAAACTTGTTTGAAAGTTTGTTACGAAAAGCTGCAAAGTAAAACGCAGAAATATTTAAACAAAACGAACGAAACAAAGTCTGTTCAATTTAAAGGCATTAAACAAAAAGCTAATAGATCTCAGCTAAATAACAATACAAAACAAAGCTGAAACCAGTCAAAAACATCTTAAAATGCTGCCGAGAAGAAAAAAAAGAGACACTCAAATATTGGAGCGAAATGGCGCTCAACCAAGCCAATCATACCACCAACCACTCAAGCAATTCACTCAGCGTTTAATGAGTCAGATTGGAGTGAAATTTGCACACAGCTTCTGGCAAAATTTGCAATGGAAAAAAAACAAATTTGTATGGATTTTTTGCTGGCATACATATGTACACGTATGTATGTGCGAGTGTGTACATAAATAAAAGCTGACACAATAGTTTACAAGTTTAGCCATTTCGCACAGTAATTATTTACTAAACAACATAGTATACATACATATATACATACATATATGTTTCTATGTATATTTTTTATAACTCTATATACTTGGCCCATCATTGTGGGGGTCGTGCGTGAAAGTTCATTGGGTTGGGTCTTCAGCTGTTTTTTTTTTTTTTGCTTTTTTTCTTTTTCTCTCAATATCACTCAACGCAAAGCATCTGTCTGTCGTTCGGTCTTGCATTTACTCAAGCGTTACATATTGTATGTGAATGACAACATTACTATTTGGGTATATGAATAATTGTGTATTTACTTTTTTTTTCAAGTTCTGCGTGTGTGTGTGTGTGCGTGTGTGTGTACGTGTTTATGTCGCGTATACGCTACTGCGAGCGAACGACAGGGCATTCAATAATCCAGTTTGTTGTTTGGGTACCCACGCCCGCCACAGTTGCGCCCGTGTCGTGCTACTTACAAGACGTCTTCTACTCAGCGTTCTCTAAGGTTAGATCCAAGGAAGTGTTGTGTTGTTTAAAAATAAAAAAAATAAAAAATAAATAATAATAATTATTTTTTAAGTTTTTAAGCGCTTAATAGGCTAGTCAGTGTTATTTCTCTTTTGGCTTTGTGCTGGAAAAAAAGTGTTTTTTTTATGGCAAAATAATATATTTAATTTTTTTTTTTTTTAATTATGAAGTTTTGAAATTTATCGAAAAAAATTTAAAGGAAATTTTGCGAAGCCATAAAGGATATCTCAATTAATTGTACTTATTAATAAACCATATATAATATATGAATCATAAATCTTGTATATACATATGTACATATACATATAAATAATAAATAGAATTTTAAAATTCCAATTTCGAAATTTATTTGCGTTAAATTTCCGTGCATACATAAATTACAAATTCAAATAAAAGTATTTGTAATATCCAGATTTAAGAAAAGTTTAGATGAAAAAATTAAAAAAAAAAATTTATATATAACTTGTTTCAACCTTTCTGAAATTCGTAAATTCTATGCGCGCAGCTCATGTTAAATAATATAATTTAAAAAAATAAATAAAGAATTCAAAAATTTAATTAATTTTCGAAGCAAGCAAGCCACTGTTGTGTACATATTTTGCTATTTTTGTGTTCAAAATAAGTGATTTTCATTTCAAAAAATTAAATATTACTTTATGTACATACATATATATATGTATATATATGCACTTATGTGCTAGATTTTATTAAGAAGAATATGTGATAATAAATATTCCTCTTTTTAAATTATTTATACATATATATATATATATTTATAAATATATATGTATATATGTATATATTATTAAACATAGCGGACACTTATTTCTATATTAAAATAATCTATAGCTACTTTGAGAGACTATCACAAAAATTATTTTATTGATTAGTAATAATAAATAAGGAATAAGTTACGAAAATTTAAAATTTTAATATACATACATATAAATAAAAATATATATCTCCTATATATAAATTTTTTTTCGTTAAATATTTTATTTAAGTTAAAGCATTCGAGTTTTATAATATATATTTATACAATTATCATTTGAATGCCAATGGTCAATAAATATTTTATAAATAAATTAAAATAAATATTTTATATCTTGTTAATTAATTATAAATTAAAACAAAAAATTTAAACTTTTTTTAAATTTAACATTAAGTTTTTATGGCTTTCATAATTCGTGTCAATTTGCAATGCTAAAAATCAAGTAGCATAAACAAGAATTTGATTTTATCAAACTTAAAAAAATATTAATTTCTAATAAGTTTTTTTAAAAGAATTAATTTAAAAAGTTAAAATTAATTTTAATTTAATGCACTTGGTTATTTTCAGTAGAGAAATTTTTCTAAACAGAATTAAAATTTAGCATCAATTTATTTTAGTACGAAAATTCCCTCCAAAAACGTTGGTATTTAATTGTTTAATTTTTCATTTTTAATTTTTAAATTTTTGTACTTTAATAGTTTCAAATATTATGCATATGAATATTTTTTTAAATACTAAAAATAAGTTTATTTTATTATTTAATCATTGTCGACTTAAAATCATAGTTTATATAAATTTCCAGTACCTTAAAAATTATGCACTTAAAAATAATAAAAAAGTATCTCAGTTAAAAATAATGTTTTATAATAAAAAAATCATAATAAAAATAAAAATAAATAAATTAATATTAACATTATATTCAATTATGAAACTTAATTTATGCAACTCAGTAAATAGAATCTAAAAAATATCTTTTTTTACATATTATATATTGGTTTAATTATTATATAGATAATAGATTAAAAAAAATTAAAAATAAATTTAAAAAAATATTAAATCCGTAAATATTAAAATTTTTTTAAATTATCTCTCTTTATACGGTACAGCTCAATTTGTTCAAGCAAAAATAAAGAAAATGGTTTCTGCAGTAAAATCATTCTTGGCTATTGCCGTCATTGCTAGTGTAGCTACTTCAGGTAAGTTTGAATATAAAAATATTTTAAAGTATATATATATATATATATATATATTTTAATTATAAAGAAGTTATTTGATATTAAAAAAGCAATACTTATTAACATTGACATGATTAAGAACTGTTCTCGTTGAGTCAGATTAGTTAGAAAAGTGGCTGTGACTGCTACACTGACAGACGACAGTCATGCGCATTAAGCCCAACTAAGATAACAAGTGATTTCAAAATGCCTATATATAGTTAAAAAATGCACGTAATAATTGAATGAAAATTAAAAAGATAAAATTTGGTTAAAATAACTTTTTTTAGTTTAAGCAAACAAGTAAAAAACATTTTTCAAAAAAATAATATATAAAATAACTAAAAAAAAATATTAAAATTAAAATAACATTCTTTGCTTTATTTGAAAGAAAAAAGGAAATAATTAAAAGGTAAACCATATTATAATTAAAAAGAAGCTAAATATAATAAAAATTTAATTATAATAAAATTTTTGTTTTGTTTTTTACTCAAAGGAAAAATAACTAATAAAATAAAACATAATCGAAAATTAAAAGCAATAAATTTTTGTATTTAATCATTTTTTTTTATTTTATTCGAAAAGATGGTAAATAGAAATTTTTTATATTTAATAGCACCAAAATTTGTATTGTAATAAATTTTTCATTCCTAAATTTACATTTTATTTACTAATTTTTTTTACTCCTACATATCAAAACCGATTAAAAATTATCCTTTAACTTTTTAAGAGTAATTCAATGAAATAATGAATTAAAATTAGCAAAATTAAATAAAAATAACAATTCATTAACGCTTTTAATAGTTCAATAATAAAAAAACGAAATGAAAATGCAATTTTAGAATTATTATATATACAATATATATATTAGTTTTTTTTCAATAATTTGCGTAGTTTCTTAATAGAAATTCAAATACGTCAAAAATAATTAACAACTATATTTTTATTATTAATTTTTTTAAGAAAAGAATTAAGCACATAATAACAAAAAAGAAAAATATCAAAACTCTATTATATGTTGTCTAAAATTATTATAATAATTAAAAAAAAAACTTCATAACTAATAAATATTATTTTTTAATTTTTTTTGTTTTCAATAAAAAAGAAAATACATATAATAATTTAATACAAATTTGAAATATAGTAACCAAATAAATATTGCCTTTTCATTCGCTTATTAAATTTATTCAAAGGAATCATCTGCGCAGTAATTAAAAAATAATTACAAATTGAAAAAAATTAAGAATTAGTCTTCTATTTTTTTTATGAAAAAAAAAATAGTCCACATAAAACTATAAAAAAAATATGTACAAAAAAATCAAAAAAAATATATTGTAATTAATATATTTATTTTCTTCAAAAAAGTAATTAAAAAATTATTTAATAAAAAAATAAAATTAATTACATTTTTATTCATTTAAAATTTTTTTTAAAGAAATAATTGGCGCAGCTATTAAAAAAATTTCAAAAAAATTACTAAATATCCATTTATTTTATTAATTTAATTTTTTTTCCAAAGAACAAAAATTAAAAAAATCAAAATGAAAATTATTTATTTGTTTAATTAAAAGAATAACGTCAGAATAGTTAAAAATTAACTTCCTCTTAAATTCAATAAAAAAAAATATATTAACAAAAATAAAATCTCCTTCTGCCCCACAGCTTTTGCCGTACAGTGCTACATCTGTGATTCAGTCACCCAACCAAAGTGTGGTGAGAAATTCGAAGCGAGTGATGATATGAAATTCGATTGTTCACGTGTGTCGCCACCACGCTTCTTGCAGAACTTCTTCAACGTACACAATGCCACCGGTTGTGTGAAGAAAGTGCTTGATGGTAAGTAATGAATACCAAAAGTTATGCGAGATATCAAATAACATCACAATATGCCTCCACCTGCCCTGCAGTAACACTGTTGTGGACATCGTAAGATTATATTTTATATTCATAGTATAAAATCGAAAAAAAAGAAAGAAAAGCTTAAAAAATGTCTCAAAAGCAATAAATTTATGGTGCTTATATGGGCCTCTATGCTGCGTTAGTCGAACTTCATGACTTACATGGACAACCAACTGTTGACTAAAGAAGCTCAATTATCTACATAGTTTTACGTTCTTAAATATTTTCAACAGAAATAGTGCAATCACACAATTGATCTCTATGAAAATACGATATTACATTTCAAATTAATTTGAGCTCTAATTAAAGATGTTAGAAGAAAACACACAGTTGTGCAGTAACCAGCTAAGCTCTAAGTGACACATATATACTCATACATATACACATTAGCCATGTCACTTTCCCAATTTCACTTAACTATGTGACCACCTGAGGAACTAGTTTCGCCAAAAATAGTTAGACTCTTCAATACTACATCAGTTGCCGAAAAAAAATTTTATTTAGACAGTTTCAACATAAAACAAACTGTTCACAAATACTTACATACATCGATAGCTTGTGTCACCTTTTTTGATGACATAATTTCCTCCAAGATTAATAAAGTTAAAAGTATTTTGTTACGAACTCTCTGCCTGGCATTTTTATGGCTGCTCAGAGGTCGGCGAGCAGACAGGTGTAGTTACGAAATTTCACGTATAACTAATATTTGTAGTAAAAACAAAAACTTTAAACACTAAATTTTTATATATTTACATACATACATATGTATGTGCTGTACATACGTTCTTCTCTAACTATTGCCCATTTATGTCAGTGATGTCATGCTTACCTGGAGATTTTGCTAATTTATTTAAAAATGTTACCGTATTGTTTATACTATAACATACATATATACGTATTTATATATGTACTATATTATATTATATGTATGTATGTATACTACCATCATTCTATTGCGCTTTAATTTTGAAGCGTAGCTTCCAGTCCAAATTAAATCCACGACCGGTTTTTATTTGATTTTCAGAAATAAGTGCCGGTTTGTAAAATGAAATAAATTAAAATTCAATGCAATATTTACAATTTAAGTTGTGTATCTACAATATTAACGAGTGCTGTCGTGAGAAAATGCACATTAATATGCAATGTTCAATTTCTACTTTGACACAGCAATCAAGATGCCCAGTAGGAAATTTTTGAGTTAGGTTAAAATTATGTTTTACCAAAAATTGATGATAAAAACATTTATATTTATATTTTGCTTTTAATATATACTATTGCTCTGCGCATCTGCTTTAATAGTTGAATACGATTGATATGGTTTGTATCGCCGTACAAAATCAAACGGACTTCTTTTCACAAATCTTACATTTTTCGATAAATTTGCACTCCCCAACGCCGAACGATGCTCAGAAAACATTTTTTCTTTATCGTCTTACCTTCTGACGAAATACCAGAATTCATATATTCTTCTTCTTCTAAAGTAGACACCGCTTACGGTTTTATAGCCGAGTTAACTAGAAGAGGAGGGGAAGTGGTAGACAAAATGGTATCGAAATTTATACCGATATGATCGGAATTGAATTGATTTAGCCATGCCCGCCTCTCCAACTCTCCATCTGTCAAGAGGTGCCACCAGACGTCGCTCGTTACTGGATCCCACATCACTACAATGCGCCGTAAAACGCCGCCCTCAGTGTGTACCAGTATTTAGCCTCTAAAGGGATCGGCCTTATTCGCCCGATATGTCAGACTGTGGTTTTTTTTATTCCCTTGTTTAGTCGGTTGAGGACAGCCAGGCGGCAGTGACGATGGACACGAGGACATCTCAGTCTAAGCGTTCCAGAAATGTTACGAAGCATGGCAAACGCGCTGGAATCGTTGTATAGCTGCCTAAAGGGACTACTTTAAAGGGGATGGCAGTGTTGTAGAAGAATTTTGAAATATACGGTTTTCATGGAATTAAACTGATTAGTTAATTGTCACGTCTTGTAGCTGTTGCAATATTCCCAGATGCATTTTGACAATTTCTGCTACATTTTAGTGGACTTGAGTGGACTTGTATCCGTACGATCAGTGAGAGAGTTGGAAAGAATTCGACAAATAAGTGAAGTGAATTCAAATGAAAAAGATCGAGGCGAAAGTCAAGACAGTGAGGAAACTCAGGGTGATAATGTGGTTGGCGATGAAAATGGGTTTTTTTTGGATATCCATAGAGGACAGAGGCGCCAAAGACTTTTATCGGATTCTGAAAGTGATAGTGATCAAAATTTTCGAGACATTGTCACGGCTGCTGATGGCACTGTTGGGCAGCAAAACTAAGAAGGCCACCACTTTCACTACTTTCAGAGAAGTATCAGGGCCAACGGCATACGCCAAATATATTGTCTAATAAAGTTTCATCCGTATTTTTTGAAATAACAGATCACACTATTAGTGAAAAACTTGCGCGATTTGTAAAACATTTGTTTGCGGGAAATATACGAAAGGGAACCCATCCAATGTAAAAAATGCAGTTACTCTATTGCTCTTTCATGACAATGAAAAAATGTGTTTAATTTTATACGAAATCAGAAATGATGTTACCACTTCTTTTCCTTTAGTTAATCAAGAATTTTTTACGAAAAAATCTATGTTAATTTCAAAAGGGGTCAAATGACCCCCTTTGGTAAGATTAGGTATAGAAAAAGCCGGTAACGTTTAGCGTTGAGACTCTTCACTTCTTTCTTCTTTCTTGTTTCTAAATCTTATTTAGTTTTTTTTTTCTCTTGTTTTTCGCCTCCATTTTACCGATTTGATTTTATCGAAAAATTTAATTTAATTACTTTTTTTTTAAGTTTTAATTACATACAAATATATTTAATTGCTGATAAAGAATTTGCTATTAAATCAATTGTCATGCGCCGCCAGTGCGAGTGTAATTAACAATTAAGCAGTAATTTGTGTATGAGATCATATCTAGGTTAAATGCTCAGAAGTGCAGCTGAGTTCACTGACATTTTCATTTCTAGTGCTTACATACACACACACATATATGCATACATACAGATGTGATGGCATATCTTTGGCATGAGATCAATATTTTTAAAAATAAAAAATTTGTGCCAATTACATAATTTTTGAGTTTAATATACATATATATATATGTATATACATATATATATGAAGTGATATATATAAGCGATCTTCGGCTGATCCCCTCCTCTAATTTGTGGTTTTGCGTCTTGATGTTTTCCCAACAAATGGAGGGACCTACAGTTTATACTAAGCCGCCTCCGAACGACTGCTTGTTTTTTCATGAAGAGCTTTATTTCATGTCCAAAATGCACTCGGAGGAGTGGACATTCCCTGCCGAGGGTCGACCGCAAATAGAAAATTTTGCTTATGGGATTTGAACCCGGGCCATCCGAATGGCAGTATGCAATGCTAACCACTCGGCTACAGCGGCCGTCATATACTGGCAACAGAAGTTACCAAAAGCTCAATTGATAGCTTCGCCTACTGCGCCTTTGCGATGACAGCATTAATCTCTTTTTTATACATTCAAATAAGTTCAATCCCCAATGCACAAACACCCAGATAGGCCTTGGCATCAGCGCGCCAACCGTCCTAGCAGCATTGGATGTGTCAAAGCTTTCGTCACCGTCAATCATTCAATGCTATTTTCGGGCATTGAGGACTCCACATTATCACCTTGTTTGAGGGGGTGGACCATGGGCTACCTGAAACTCCGTAAGATTAGACAATGGTTGATGTCTTCTATATCCGGTGGTGACTTAAGTTCGAAACTGCTTACTCGCTGACCTTCACCACTTCTTTACTGTACTGCAATACCCTTTTCCGAAGCTCAACAAAGAAGTGCCATACCTGAAGCTCGATTTAAAAGTTGATGTCATCAAAATACCGACAATTAATAAGCCGAATTTACGGCGCTCCTACACTCCGCATTTGACGGTAGTTGCTGGAAGCCGCAACAAAATCTTCAAGGCGTAAGCCCGCAGCGCCAGAATACCGTGCTTAGGATCGTGACAGTAAACCTGCTGATATCACCTGAGCATCGCTAATACAGCGAAGTATCTACCTACCATAGGAAGCACTATAACAGGCATCTACCGGAAACCGAGTCTATGTAGCAGCCTAGACACATCAGGAAGGGGGTATGCGAACACGTGCCAGAACAACTGGACTGGACGACATACCCATAGGCGTTAAACGTCATTCACTGAGAGTTTGCCAGCACCTGCCTGAACTCTCTTGCAGTGAATGGTGTTCTTGTAGTCAAGGCACCATCCACTACAGGCGGGGAGTTCGATTTGACTCGCTAGTTTTAGTCAACTCAATTCGTAATTGTTTAGACATAACCCCTAACACCTAACCACGTCTTAGCATGACCCTAAGAACCTACTCATTTAACACCTTTTTTCAACTGATCCGAACCTATCGAAACAGCTCGTTGGGATGACCTCGAAGACGTAAACTGATCTTGCCTGCTCTTAAGTACAGGGATAATCGCATTTTTAGAACGCTCTCGGACAGTAAACAGTTTAGCGAACATCATGCATTTTGCCTTTGCTGTCTCTGAAGCAGATGCCAGCTAACATTTCTTATTTTTTTTAAACGTTGTCTGCTTTTATTTTCTTTCCTTTTTGTTTTTGAATTTGTCAGCTGGCAAAGGCTGAGTTTTAAATAAGAAAATAATTTGCATTTGGCAATTATACAAAAGCATTTATGACATCATGGATTTTCAAAGAAACATATTTATATATATATATGTCTACATACCCTTTAGGAACCTCCTATTTATCTTCGTTCTTTTCTTAAGTTACCAATTGATATCTTCAACACGATGATATCCCACAAAATGTTAATAGACCGAGATTTCACCAGCTTCATACTAGTTAAATACTAGTTCATGTATACATGTTAAGACTTTACTATACACAAATAAAATTTAAAATTTAAATGAACAGTTAGTCTCACGCCTACAAGAGGTAACCTCTAAACACTCGGTTATCTAATAAAAAAAAGCACATCAGACTTACTCCGTTACAGCATTTGCAAATGGATCAAGTTTACTACCAAAATAATAGTTGAGAGCGCGCGACGCATCACCCAGCAGAGTCGGTAATTCGAGTTTACATGGATCTGTTTCGTACCGCGCTTAGTATAGTGGATAATGCGTATGCTCTGCTGCTGTGGAGCAGAATACCGAAGAAGAATCGAATGAGTCTTGTACCCATCCACTTTATATAAGATTTTGCGGAATTTTCTCGATTTGAGGGCTTACAAAATCCGATTCGTCCAAGAATTGAAACCAAACGACCTTGAAATGCGTCGGACGCTCGATGAGTGGGCGAAAAGCGAGTTGGTCTGCGATCTCGATTTCCACAAGAAAATTTTGTTTAACGATTTAGCTCACTTTAAGTTCAACGGGTAAATTGATAAAGAAAATTGTGGTATTTGGGGTGATAATAATCCACCCGCCGTCGTTGCATGTTCAAAAAGTCATCGTTTGGTCGAATACCGATCCGTATCTCTGGAAAAATTAAACCGGCCATTATGCTACAGTCCCTGGAGAACGTTGTACAACCGTGGTGAATGACTTTTTCGCGCCTGAATTCGAAGATGTTGAAGTGTTTCGAACTTTTGTTCAAATAAGACGGCGCTACTTGTGCCTCACAGCCCACGAGGTAATCAATTTATTGAAGTAAACCTTTGATGAGCGCATTATCTCGAGTCGAGTGCCTGTGGCGTCACCTCCAAAACCGTGTGATTGAACACCGCTGGACTACTTTTTGATGGGGTTATGTGAGATCGTTAGCCTATGCAGATAAGCCGGAGGTGATTGACCCCTTTGGAAGAGTATATTCGGCGCGTTACTGCTGGCATGCGAACCTAATAGCAACGAAATGTGGTCGAAACTTTCATTACGAGAAAATTAAATAAATTTAAATAGTAATATCAGCGTTGTTCAGAACAGCAATGAAGGTCAATATTTTCCTAGGGGGACCATTATACATACATATGTATGTATGTACGTTTTTTGTCTTCATAAATTGTATACCACAAATTAATGGTCATACAGTTATACATATACATACATAAGTATAGTATCAATACATGATTCTAAATATTTTTTATTTGATTCAGATGAGACAATCAATTGCTTTTAGCTCCAAATTCGTATAATAATTTGGCATGAATTGGCAATAGAAAAGAAAACGGATGTCAATTTGTACAATTTCACTGCAAAATTCAGCATCGCATGACATTTTTATCTGAGTTTTGTTCCCAATTGGGTTGAAAGTCAAACATCCAAGGGGTTAATTGAACAAATAATCCGTCGTCGGCGTTCATGTTTAAATAATTTTGAAGTCAGGGTGATCCGGTTTATAATAATTTTTTTTTTTTCATTATTGGAAATTCAAAGTGGACAGAAAATTTTAACCCGAGAGGTACGATAGGGGCTTACATAGATTTCAATTCCACGCATCCCTATGCCAAGTGGTCCGATTTCGATAATTTCCTTTTGTATTGAGTTCATACCACAAAAAGTTGAAGCTGTAAAATTTTATATTAATTTTAGGCAGAGAGCTAGGAAAGAGGGACTTAGTCAATGATTTGAACGCATTTTTTTTTTAATTAATTTTCTATAATTACCGCGGCTGCCGTCTGCATATGTATATACATATATAACTAAATGAAAATAATTACGAAAGCATTAGACCATGAATATTGTCTCAAGTGAGTTCAAGGTTAATAAAATATGAAATCTGAAAGCTGAGTGGCGTTGTTGTGTACATACATACATATGTACATGCTATAATACTTAAATTTTAGATCATCTTCTTATTCATTGGTGAGAGCACCGCTTACACGATTATAGCCGAATCGGTAATAGCGCGCCACTCGGTCTTCTCTTCGCTGTTTGCCGCCAGCTGGAAATACCAAGTGAATCAGGTCACTATTCACTTGATCCCTCCAACGAAGTGGCGGTATTCCTCTGCCTCTGCTATCACCGGCGGATACTGTATGGAGTACTTTCAACTTTCTGGATGCTTTCATTTAATTAGATTTAAATCGCTTTATTCGCTGAACTATGTTAATGTCGTCCTATATCTCATACAGCTCAGCGTTCCATTGTCTGCGGTATTCGCACAAAGGGCCATAAATCGTTAGCAAAACTAATCTCTTGAAAACTTCCAGGGTTGCCTCATCAAATGTTGATGTAGCATTTTGATAAACGGCGAGCTTCTATTATTTCAGGGTTAAAATGTACAATCGAATTTATGGGAAAGGATGATGATAGGGAATCTATGTACTGCCTATTTGAAGGTTACCAAAGGTGCTCTCAATGAAATGCAGCTTCCTGCGAATCCCGCTGAGGGATATTGGCGATATTCAAACTTGTTTTGGTGGATATCCACCCACCTCCTCGCGAACAAATTATCCTGATTGTTCGCGAAGTTTGACTGTGAAGTGGTGCTCTCAGCGCCAGCCTCAGTTTCCACTTCCATATCGGCTTTCGAGCATTAAATCCGTGTACCATCGCAGTGACTGGCTTGAGTTATCCGTCTCATACCAGCCGTAGTAGACACGTATCTTACTTCTATTCGATTTGATAGCTTCTGGCTTCAGCCACACATTTTCTTCTATGGCACTGCTTAGTCTGACTTATAACATATTTAGTATGCCTTTCGGTTGGGATAGTTTCACATCTACCCATACCCTTATTCGAGGCCTGACTGGAATGTACTATCAATCAGCCATCTCCTGCCTGGCATCAGAATATACTCTACTCATCTTCGCCTCAACGACCACATACAGAACCATCGATCTTGTAACCTCGAATGCGAAGATTTTGCTGCTTCTCCGAAACCAATCATCAACTTACCAAGAAAAACGTCAAGAATACCCACCTCTCTATATCTTTTGGTTTTCGCATAAAAACCGTTTCCTCTTTTAGAATTTTAATTTATTTTAATCATCGCGTATGTAATGCTCGTCAGCAACCGCACGCAGCTTGCTCTGCCTGTGTATTCTCTTTAATAAATTGCACTTTAACTCATAAATTCTCTAATTGATTACGTTACTCTAATAATTACTTTACTCCTTTCTTCCATTACAGTTCCCGGTCATCCACAAATCATTCGTAGCTGCTTCTATGGTGACGTATCCAACACACAAACGGGCTGCCAAGCAGATCCCTCTTTGCCGTTCGTAAAGCAATTGTCATGCGATGTGTGCACAGGCAATCTCTGCAACGGTTCCAGCGCCATGGCTCCCATCGCTGCTGCCATTGTACTATTCTTCGCTTTGGCTCGTATGCTGTCTTAAAATGGTTCGCCACCACTGTAACAATCGCTGTTTAGCAAAAAAAAAAAAAATATTTAAAATTTAATTTAAGAGCTTTTCTTCTACTACAAACAGCGATAAAGTATTTAATATTGTATAATTAGTTTGTAAATTTGTGTATTTGTATTTGTACCGATTTTAATACAATTATTATATATGTATTTCCTCTCTTCTATAATGACAATGTTTTATTCGGTTTTAAATGGCAAGTTAATTGGGAGGATTTATTGAAGCTCCATTTGGGTATAGTCGAATATTATTAGAACAGTAGTGAAAGCCTTTAAGCTCCTCTAAAAGAACCGTGGCCGCAGTAGCAGAGCGGTTAGCATTGCGTACTGCCATTCGGAAGGCTCGGGATCAAATCCCCTAGCGACCAACATCCAAAAGTTATAGAAAACTAATTTAAGTCAAAAATTAAGCAAAATTTTCTATTTGCGGTCGCCCCTCCACAGGGAATGTCCACTCCTCGGAGTGCATTTTAGACATGAAATAAAGCTCTTCATAAAAAACCATCAGCCGATCGTAGGCGGCTTAGATAAACAGTAGGTACTGTCCATCTGTGGGAAAAACATCAAGACGCAAGACCACAAATTGGAGGATGGGCCGGACCAAAGATCGCTTCAATCCCTCGATCCCTAGGATACCTGATGTACATTAAAAACTGATATGTCAATCAACAAGATAATTTTCCATAATAGAAATTATGTGAGGATGAGGTGTAATGATTTGCGATACCATACAGACCCGTCTAAAAAACACAAACGCAGCTTACTTCCTTTGGTTTGTTAAAGAGTGGCGTTGTTTTTGTTTTCTGTTCCCAATTTCGACAGAGAGAGAGAGAGAGAGAGAGAGTCTTTTCCACCTTTGTGTAAGATCCACTTATCCAGAATCATTAAAAATTTGTTGGAAATCAGGAAGAAGGAGGAATAGCGGCGCTACTTTTTACATCGTGACAACGCGCCAGGCCACACTGTTGGGATCGAAGCACCTTCCCCTGATATAGCACCTTATGATTTCTGGTTATTTCCAAAAAATATAAGAAAGATTAAAGGAAGGGTCTTTAATGGCAACGAGGAGATAATTGATATGCTTGAAAATTACGATTTTGAAAACTATTTTCAGAAGTGGATCTAGAGGCTTAAGAAATGCAATGAAATCAAGAGCGATCAATTAGAGAAGACAAAAATGCAAAATTAACTTTTTTCTGGTCAACTTACCCAACTTTTGCTAATCTCCTCGCTATTAAGGAGAGTGATGTAAGTTACTTAGTCTATAACTAAAGAACACCCGGGCCGATTTCGATGTCTCGCACTGATTCGGATTGGTCGCCGGGAAGTGGTGCATAGGACCCTTGTTGCTTGTATTATCAATCAGCCCCTTTTCTACCGGAAAGTGTACCAGGGACTGACCTATTCCAAAAAAATTGTATTTTCATTTGATTTTCTTGAATTTTTTTGGCTACAGTATATCATATAATAAGTCCTCTATATAATTGGCGGTTTGTAGTCGCTGAATTGATTTCTGACCTAGATCAGCATTTGCCACGAGTGGTTTACTTCGAGGTATTCACATTTTCTTGGAAGACAGCGAAAGAAAATGTTGGTCAAACCACGTTCGAACCGCGGCGTTCCGAATGTCAGAATGCAATGCCAACCGCTTGGCTATTGCGGCCGGTATTATAAGGGGTGAATAGCAATGCATGCAGAAAAAGTCACAGTTTGGTGCGGTTTAGGGGCTGGTGGGGTTATTGGACCGTTTTTCTTCAAAGATGATGCGAATCGTAGCAGAACTGTGAATGGTGAGCGCTACCGTGAGAGGATATCAAACCTTTTTTTTGAGCATGATATGTGGTTTCAACAAGACGGTGCCACATGCGACACAGCACGCGTAACAATGGACTTTTTGAGAGGCGAGTTCGGTGAACATTTTATTACACGTTCTCGGGGCCGGTCAATTGACCGCCTAGATCGTGCGATTTAACGCCTTTAGAGTATTTTTTGTGTGGCTCTGTTAAATCCAATGTCTATACAGACAAGCCCGCTTCAATTGATGCATTGGAGGACAACATGGAAGCATTTATTCGCGAGATACCGGCCGAAATGTTGGAAAGAATATGCCATAATTGGACTAAGCGGATGGACCATTTGAGGCGCAGTCACGGTCAAAATTTGCATGAAATAATCTTCAAACATTAAATTATATGGACCGTAATATCGATTCAAATAAAGATTTCATGCATTTTTCTGAATTTTGTGAGCTTTTTGCTTTTTGAAAAACTTTCCTATAGCTCTTAAAAAATAACCCTTTACAAATATTTATAATATTTTCTTCAGTACGCTTCAACACCGTTACCAAATGTAATAGTTAAAAAAAAACTCATTATATGTACACATGATATGGCACACATGCATGCATACATCTCAGCTTGTTTTCATATGTATAAAGTGCAAAAAGCTTTCCAAATGCTTTTTCTGTTAAAAGAGCTTTTTGGAGTTGGCACTCAAACTGTTTAGGTCCTACATTGAATACTAACTACATGTTCAACATGATCTTACTAAAAGATGCATACGAGTACATACATATGAATATACAGTGGCTCAATAAAGAACTCGGACATGCATTCCATTGTTATTAAGATGCAACTTCAAGCCAAATTTTTTTAACCAATTTATATTAAACCTTAAAAAAACTGTTTCAATTTTAACAAATTACAATTCAAAACTTATCAATTTTAAAATACATAAAATATATATGAGAATAATTTCAAATAAAAAGACAGAGTAAACCGGCGAGTGACGGTTATATATTTTTTGTAAAGTGAAAGAAGTCATCAAAAATCTCCTTTCTTATTTGTGAATAATGTTTATGATTCTTCATTGGAGTTGATTTTGTTTGTGGTGGTTCAAACAATTTTTTGTAGGCTACTCAGAGGGTAATTGGTCCAAGACCGGAACGTTTGCAGTATGGCAAAGAGTTCTAGCCTTGAGTTTCAACTCCAAACCCCCCCTCCTCCGAGAGCCGCTACTTAGAACTGAGTATGCAATTGAAAATTAAAGTCAACTCTGGACGTATAAAAGCCAAACTTTACAAGTTGCGCATCATTCCCGTCCTACAATATACAATAGAAGAAATGTCGACATCCACTGTGTCGAAGTTTTTGAGGTAAAGTTATTGGGAAGGATAGACTATACTTTCTTTGCGCATTGGCAATGTCGAATACCGCAGACGATGGAACGATGAGCTGTACGAGATATTCGGTGATATTGACATGGTACAGCGAATGTAGAGACAGTGGCTACCCCGGGTTAGTACTCCAACTTTGAAAGTATTCGAAACACTACCCGGTGGTGGAAGCGGTGCCTACGATAAGGAAGAAAAAGAAAAGAAGACGTAGGCCTTTTGCAGAGTATGAAGCTAAACTGTTTATAATAAACATAAAATAGTATGCTCTAACTGTGAAATTGAATACTCCAACTAAGGGCTATACATATGGCTCAATAATGCTATGGACTTGTTCCCAAACATTCTGTTGTATGTCAAGTCAAGTAAAAAGCCTCTCCGGGCTCACCCGCGTTCTAAAAGTGCCATTTAATTACGCTAGATGGCGTTATAAGGATGATACTGTGGAAAATATCGATAAAAAAAATGGAAATCAGCGCGTCTGACGGTCTTTCGAGCATTGTTTCTGAGCTCAACATTGCACAAAAACTCACTTGATAAAGACTTGATACACAATTTAGTTCGATGTCTGGGTGCTACAGTTAACGAGAAAAATCCAACTACGGATCGCTGCCGAATGATAACAAGATCGGCCTATTTCTGAAGCTTAATCAGCGCAACGCCAGACCACATACATATATCGATATTGACTCGCCAGAAACTTTTACTACCAATATATACTACTGTGGTGAAGTAAGGTGAATTTGTTTGCTAAATTAAAAATCTTTAGTTATTCTTCTACACCGAATTGTTGGCCCATAATTCTGATCTTCTTTGTGAATTTCTTCTCGCAAACAACGTATAACGCTTAAATAATATTCCTTATTTACCTTTTGACCTGACGGGAGAAATTCATAGTGCACCACACCACGAAAATCGAAGAAAACTGTCAACATTACCTTTTGAGTGACTTTGAAATGATTTTTTCGGTCTTGCCTCACCTTTAGCACGATATTCGTTTGATTGGTCGGTGGTCTCAGGGTGGTAGTCAGTAAGAATGTTGTGTGTGAAATGAACGCGTCAGCTTTTTTCATGAGACTGAGTGTTTTTGGAACCAAACGAGAACAAATAGTCTTCCAATATCATTTTTAAAGATCCTTCGGATATTCCAACCATATCAGTGAAGTCTCTAACAGTCAATCGATGGGTTTTGAGTACTAATTTCTTAATTTCATTGACGTGTTCAGTTGACGTTGATGGACGTCCCGAGCGCTTCAAGTCATCAACACATTTCCTACCCTCTTTGAAGTCTTTGTACCACTTATACACTTTCTTCTACGTCATAGTTGAGTCCCAAAGGATTTTTGTAGCATCCTCAACGTTTCAGCAGCTGAAAACTCGTTTCGCAAGCAAAATTTGATCGCAATTCTATGCTCAATTAAATCAGATATTAAAAAATCGCCGAAGGCACTTTTAGTCGTTTAGTAAACACAAGCATAACTAAGATATCAATGATGGCAATAACGTGAAATATGGCGTAGATGTCAATAACAGTGCTACCAACATTAAAAAAAAAAGAATTAACCCGAAATGTTGTTACGATTTTGCTAGATCAACCTCGATGATTTTCTGAATCCTTCGGGTACGATCTCTGGATTGTTAAATAAAAATCGCCAACTTAATTTGCAGTTTCTTTCGTTATAAAGAATTTATCTAATGTCCATTATTTACTCAGTAATTCACAATTCAATTACAATGCACTTTACTAGTTATAATCACTTGTATAAGCTTTCACAATCTACTTTACTTAAATGTAATCTCCAACGCGTTTACTTTACGACTTTACCGATGTTAACGCCAACGAGTTCACTTTGTAACGAACTTGACTTGGCAGCTGAGTGTCGCCCTCAGACAAAAGTATAGAATAATCGAGTTGTTCGCTATCGAAGGTTCTCGTCTTATCGTTCTAGAATGTACTAGTTATCGGCTTCTCTCTTTCATCTGACATTCGCCTCGCATTTTCGCAACAATATTAAAAGCGTGAAGCTCAAATTAAAAATTCTCCTCACTTTTTGCCCACAATAGTATGTACATATGTATGCAAAATAGACTACGCGAAACTCTCCAATAAAAATCTTTATTAAAATATTGAAGTGTCCAAAGCCGAAAAAGGCCGAAAATGTTAATAGCGGCCCTCGTAAGTGTGTGTGGTTGTTATTGTTAAATTGTTGAACACATACATACATATGTCAATAAGTTTATATTATATGTACCACATGGTATATATGTAGATGCATAGATGGCGCTTAAATTAATTGAGAAGGTGTCACTTTCGCTCATAAATCAGCAGCGTTCAACGCATAAGCCACAGGCCAATTTGGCTGTATGTATATATATGTACCAATTTATTTGGGAAACAAGTACCACCGCCAAATGAGCTACATGTGCGCTTCCTGCCGAGCAGGCCCGACAAGTCCGTAAAACATGATATTTCCATTCTTTGCAGCAGATTTTTCAAACCCGACAGTGTCTCAGGCGATGGCAATTTTAGCTGGGAGTAAGCGATTTTCTCTAATTTCGGAGGATTTTCTATCAACGCTCCGTAACAGGGAAGTCTTCGGCAGCCTTTGTGTAGCTATTAAATGTTAAAAAAAATTTTTGTCAAGTGAAATTGAAGTCGAAAAATTATGATTGGTTATTCGATTGAAGAAATGGCATATAGAGTGGATGAATACCTCTTAGTAAATGACGAAGCGCATACATCCATATATATTCGATCATATCCATAACATATCGACCACATTCACAGTCCGATTTACTACTTAAATACTAAAAATATATCGGTGCACACGTGTGTAAACACAAAAACAAATTATGTACAAAACAATTGGATAGCATCACCCAGCAGGAAATGGATTTTTGACGCAGCCAAACACTTTTTGTAAACACAGCGCACATATTAATGCAATTTCTTGGCTTCTGAACACCGTTGCGATAATTATTCTATAGCATTCGGTATTTTGCTAGACTTTACGAGATCCGGAAGCAGAAATTTAATTTGTCAGAATTTTTTAGTTTCTTTTGATGGCCGCTGTAGCCGTGTAATTAGCTGTGCGTGCTAATAGGAAGAGGCATTAGATATGATTTCTGTACAGACCAACAGCCAAAATGACAGAAATATTTTTTGTTTCAAACTCCAGCACCTTTCGGAGAAGTTTTTTTTTATAAGAAATAAAATGCTCTTTTTAAGAACACATCAGCTGGATAAAACTGTAGGTTCGACCGATAGTTTAAACAGCATTAAGCCACACACCGCAAATATGCCGAGGATTTTGCTTAAAAATCACTTATGATTTTATATATATCAATTATTTAATTTGTCTAAAATTATTATGAGATATAATTTTTCAGCTCACTATACGTGTATATACATATATACCTACTCTGACAGCAATAAATAGTAAAAGTTTTTGAAGAGGCTCTCGAATAAATGGAACTACCGAGTGGAAAAATTATTTTAACTTTAAAACAAACTCCACATACAAAACGGAGATACCTCTGACGTCAGCAATATATAATTTTGCAGCTAAAATGTCAAAAACGATTGACAGATGATATAGACAGAGAACGTAGAATATAGAGAAAGTGCAGGGCCAGCGTTTCTGACATTTCTGGCAGAAAAATTTCACACGTCTGTGGTGTGCGTCCCTGGTTATTGGGACATATCAGGAAACTGCGTGACCGATGAGCTGGCCAAATAAGGGATAGTCATAACGCGATTAAACTCTGTACGTGACGCGGGCATACCTATGTATATCCTCGGATAAATATCTGTTAAGACTAGCTTTCACAAGCAGTAGATGGCAGTATGAAACCACTTGCAATGTGACCCGACAAGTCATTGATCGAAGTGAATAGTAGTTAGTTTGTACTTTTTCGAACAAACCGGAAACTGTGTTATGTGGATTTATAGGAGAAGAATGGGCTGTTTCTCAAATGACTTTTGCCACAGCTGCAGTAAGCTTTGCACCTGGAGTAATCGGTGGAAGATTACCTTTGTCACTGTCTGGCTATCAGTGCGGTTAGTTAACGCTTTCTGGGAAATTTGTTTTGACAGGACCAACACAGGTATCACAATGAGCCATTAGTCCTAAGTGCTCTGTGCTCCATGCTCCGTGCTCCGTGATCGAGCTTGCTTAACTAACTAACTGACTAGATTTCCATATCTCAATATATTTAGCGTTTTGATTTTAACTTAAAAGTGTTGAGTCAAGTTAAACGAATTATAACGTAATTACGAAATTAATTAGTTTTCACGACTCTCAAAAACAAACAATTATTGAAACACTATTGCTTATAAAATTTTATAATTTTTTTTTTTAAACTGATAGACAATCTTTCCGATACTTTCTAACAACTTACTAAAGTTGAGGAAGAGCATATAGTCGATGAAGTCCACTATCAACGGAAAATATAATAAAATTCCGGATTTTTTTAAATTTAAATATTTAAAAATTTTCTAAATTCTCCACATACTTTTTTTAAGTGGTAGGTTTTTTCTTAAGAGAAGAGGGTAGCACAAAAAAGACGTTTAATTTCAAATAGCTAAGGAACCGACTGCGAAGAAAGAATGAAACTCCTTAAATTATTGTATCCTGGTAAGCACGTTCAAGAAATTTTCAGAGCTGAGCACGAACAATCGGTAAGGTATATAAGAGAGGGGCCAACAGAGCGGCTATCAGTTACAAAGTTGGTGACCACGTTGGTGTACAGTGAAACTAGTAGAGTGTTAAGAGTTGTAAAATAAAGTATATTTTTATTTATTGAGTAATAAATAAACGTTGGTTAAATTCGTTACCACTAAGAAATTGTACAACAAAGTTTGCGACTTTTGGAAAATCATTAAGGCATATTTAGCGAGAATCGTTACAATATATAAGGTTGTCAAATATCCCCTCCGCTTTTTTGCTCTTCATTCAATGCTTTATAAAAAGTGTTACAGTGATCGGATTTAGTTAAAATATGCGCTGTTTTGTTCGTTGATCTGTTTCCATCTAGACGGCAACTTCATAATACCTTCCTCGTGGAAGCCACCCTCCTTATTTGCGAAAAATTCGGACAGCCACTTTTCACAAGCCTCTTTTGAGTTCAACTTCACACCTGCAAGGGCATTCGCCATGGACAGGAACAGGTGGTAATCACTTGGCGCTACGTCCGGGCTATATGGTGGATGCGATAAACCTCCCATCCGAGCTCCCGTAGCTTCTGACGAGTCATCAACGAAGTGTGTGGTCTGGCGTTGTCCTGGTGGAACACTGCACCCTTCCTGTTGGCCAATTCTGGACGCTTCTGGTCGATCGCCTGCTTCAATCGGTCCAGTTGTTCGCAGTAGATGGTAGAATTAAGCGTCTGCCCATATGGGAGCAGCTCATAGTGGATGATTATCTACCAATCCCACCAAACACACAGGAAAACCTTCCTGGCCGTCAATGCCGTCTTGGCCACTGTTTGGGACGATTCACCGGCCTTCGACCACGACCGTTTTCGCTTGATATTGTCGTATGTGATCCATTTTTCGTCGCCAGTCACCATCCGCTTCAAGAATGGGTCGAGTTCGCTCCGTTTCAGCAGCATATCGCAGGCGTTGATTCGGTCCAGAAGGTTTTTTTGCGTCAAATTATGCGGCACCCAAACATCAAACTTTTTTCTGTATCCAGCCTTCTGCAGATGGTTCAAAATGGTCTGGTGACTAACTCCCATCTCCTGGGCGATGTCACGAGATGCAATATGCCGGTCTAACCCGATGTATTCCATGATTTGATCGGTATTTTTCGTCACAGGTCTTCCGCCGGCTGGCATATCCATGGTGTCCTTTTCACCGGCTCTGAATCGTCGAAACCATTCCTCCGCGGTTCGAAGTGATAAAGTACCATCCCCCCAAACACCATTAATCTCACGGAATGTTTCTCTAGTGGATTCGCCTTTAACGAAGGAAAACTTTAAAATAGCGCGAATATCGGCGTTAGAGAACTCCATGTTTACACGTCTATAACTGTTGAACGCAATATCCAAACTAATCATGCATAGCGTTGTTTTGTAGGTTATGTCAAGACCTTTCAAATTACGCTTTGTACATAGCCGCGAAATTCAAAAGACAAAAAAACGGAAGGGGGATATTTGACTGTCTTATATATTACAGCTCGGCTGGTCTGGCAAGCGTTGAAGACCTTCTATAGATTACTTCTCTGTCAATAATGATGCTGGTATATTAACAGGACACACTTAGAGGAGCTTCTCGATAAGAGCGACAGCTCCTGGAAATACACTAATTTCCATATGAGAAGGTCATAAGAAATGTAATGTGGAAAAAAATTATTGGCTTAACTCAATGCTCCTACTCTCCAGCTGGGACAGTTACATAGTTACAGCGGTCGTAGATTAGAAGTACAAATTTTCCAACTGGGCTCCCACATGGTGGATGCATGCTAAAGAGTAATTAACACTAGATGCCACATGCCACTCTCTTGAAATACTCCAAAGAAATGCCAACGATGACGAACGCATATACCGTTAGGAGCACTCTGACTAACAAATGAGCAAGCATTGTGCGTTGAGAGTGAGCAGCAACAGATGAATGGAAATATGTACATATCGGGGCACTAGGGGAAGAGTGAGAGGGTGTAAAAGGGTACAACTAACATTCATACATACACGTACATATATAAGTATATACACGAAATACGTAAATATCCTACAAAAGATATAGACTAGTAGATATGTATGTACATACATACATAAGCCATCGATAGGAGGCAGAACTTTTAAAAATACAGTTGGCAAATCAATGCCATACTTACGTACATATATACATACATACACGTATGACTGCTGGTAGAGAAAGTAAATGTATATATATATGTAGATAAGTATAATTTTAATTTGCGGTATTTATCGTAAAAATTTTCATCAAGTGTTTGGAAAATTCTCCCAAGTGTCAGTGCAAATTCGAACGCGCGGTTGAGCGGTTCGAAAAACGAGTGTTTGAAAATTTATGAAAATTAATGGAACGAGTGGAAGCTAAAATATAAATTTGGAATTTTCGGTCGAGAAAGAGTGCAAAAAAAATGTAGTTTAAAAAAGAAAAACAACAACAATAAGACGTGTTGGTATAAAGGGAATGCAAACAAATGTACCAAATGAAAATCATAATTGAAAAAGATTAATGAAAAGATTGTTCTGTAACATTTGAAAAATTATAGTGTAAAATTTTATTGAAACATATTTGCAAAATACGCACATACATACATATACGAGTATTAAACAAACGTTTTTCAAATCAACACATCAAATTCCTAACGATTTTCCCACATTTGAAACGGAAAGGCCAAGCGAAATATAAAATTAAAAAAGCGGTACAAAACCGCGACACCACAAGTCTTTTCTTCCAGACGAATCCAGTCGGATTTTATTGTGTAATAATTTCTATAATTTATAATTGGAAAATGCAGCGCACATTCTGCTTAATCATTTTGCTGCTCAGTGCGGTCGTGAACGGTAGGTAATATAAATATGTACATATGTACATATGTTATGGCGTTTAAGTACAGTGGGCCACAGTGGGTTAGATAAGAAATTAGTGCTGAACTGTCGCCGATCTCTACAGAAGATGACCAAACAGAGCAGACTGTATCTCACGTGGGTCCCTGTTAACAGGTACATCGTAGGCAACTGTAAGGCGGATGAGCTTGTTAGGCAAGGTACAAACACGTAGATTCTTCTCGATGAATTGGTGGAAAACAAAAAGAAATTTTTAAAAATTGTACATCACGTGAAATAGCAGGAACATCTAGTGTTCCTCAAGGCGGTCACCTCGGTCCCTTACTCTTTCTTATATTCAACAATGACCTTCTAAATGTTGTTCTTCATTTTAAACACTCTTTAAATCAGTTCATTCTATTGTAGATAGAAAGCTTTTCCAACTTGACCTAAATAATCTAGTTAGGAGGGGCAATGTAGACTGTATGTCCCGAAATTTAAATAAGTGCAAATATATGTGTTTCTCTAGAAAATCTTTCCAATCCTTTGCCTATATATGATACATAATCACAGTGTTGAATAAGTTACTGACTTCATTGATTTATGTGTCACAATGGACTCTAAGCCAGATTTTAGAAATCATATAAATACTTGTGCTTATAAGGCAAAAAGAGTTTTAGTTTTCTTCAAACGTTGGGCTAAGGAATTTTAAAAGTCGTTTACGGCTCATTAATCTCCCTACACTCCAAGGTCGTAGAAAGATGTTCGGAGTTTTATTTTTAACCAAATTGATAATTGATTGCTCTTACCTAATTAGCGAGCTTAACTTTATTATCCCGTTAAGATCATCTAGACACTTTAGGTCTCTTTCATTGGGCTCGTGCAGAACAAACTTCGGAATGCACGACCCTTCTAGACGTTTATGTAACGATTTTAATACACATTTCCCCAACATTGATTCCTCTGACTCGCATTTCTATATCGAAATCTAATTACTAAGTGCTTTAAATAATTAAATAAATTCTTCTTTTCCCTATGTAATTTTATAGCAGCTCATGAACAAATCTGTAGCTGTTTAGTGTAAGAGGCAAGTGTAACCGCAACCTCTCGCAATCGGTTTCGGGTTCAAGGCAGTCCGGACTCTCACTGGTTTTTGGTCTGTTGGATATTTCGGTTTCCCTCAGACGCGCCCCTCGGTCGGTTGGGCGGGAGGTGGGTAACGCTGGGTTCGTCGTAAAAAAAAAGAACGCAATAGTATGGCTTTTGTTACTTGCAAACTGCTTCTCAAGCAATTCGCATATGAACAAGCCGCAACAAGATACTATAACCTGACGCAAATCCGGGCACACCTGGCCGAAATGGGATTAGAAGAGGTCACGGGATATGTACTCCTTAAAAAGATTGGGCATGTCCAAAGTAATAAGAGTTCTGCAGATTACTGTCTGTTATGACAACATCCAGAAATGCTGGCAGAAGCTGTAAGAAGGAAGAGGAGAAGGAAACGACTACCCATCCCTTACTCGACTGTCCTGCTTTCAACAGTTTATACTAAGTCGCCTCAGAATGGTTGATGGTTTTTATGAGGAGCTTTATTCCATGTCAGAAATACACTCGGAGGTGTTGAAATTCACTGCCGAGAGGCGACCGCAATTAGAAAATGTAATTTAATTTTTTATTTAAATTAATTTTCTGTAACTTTTGGTTGTCGTAGCAGGATTTGAACTCTGGTCAGCCTAATGGCAGTACGCAATGCTAACCACTCGGCTTCCGCGGTCGCCAACAGGGTTAGGTCTTGCAATTTTGGGACCCTACTGCTGGATGGTTTATCGAAGGCAGCCAACGTCAAAGTCATGGATCGAATGCGGTTGAATTCCTTTTTGAGAGAAAGGTGAGGATAGGTTATTATATCTACAGATCTATTGTGTTGTATTCACTTAGGTCAAACTAAGACCCCTTATGATGACACAAGTAGTTCTGTAGCCACCACAACCTAACCTCACCTTTCTCTCAAAAAGGAGTTGTACCGACTAATTGGCCTCATTGTCTATGGCCACACTAACGCTGTAGTTTGTTAGGCTGATGAAAGTCAATATCATCGTCATTTATCAGAAGTTGTACCTTCTCTATTAGGCGCTGAAGCGCTTATTATTATCTCCAGCTATCACCTTCACTGAAACCTCGTTTAGTATCCTACGGCTCGGAGAGGTCCTACCGAATCCTGGTAAATGCTGATCCCACTGTAACTTGCACTGACTGAAGTGTCGCCCTTTTCATGGGTTTGGCAGAACACATATATGTTTCAATCAAAGGGCATGTTTTCGTTTGGCCACGTCAATTTTTCATCACCATCTCTGAATAGACTATCGGTTCCCGCGTTTTTGTCGTTTTTTATGCGAGCAATTTGAAGAGTACTTAATCATAGTCGCGTGATTGACAGTACAAGTTCGAGTTCAACGTCTTCTGATGTTTTACTTTCATGGGAATTCATCTGGCTGAAGTTAAAGTCTTCCCGCCACTGCAACACCTTTTTGGTTCTTACATTATTATGCTGCATTTTGGCATATCATTTGGCATAATCTGACGGCTTCACAAGCTCTGCATACTAACATACTTCGGCCAATCCACTTCACTGTCGCAAATCCGTCTCGCTTCCCTCTTTAACTCACGGTATCTCTCCCTTAAGTGCTGGGGTCTAACGTTACGTTATAATCTTCATCGTACCAGTTCTTTTTTGGGAAACCAAAAATTTTTCCGGCGTCTGTACGTAAGGAGCTTGGCAGGCTGAATACTTTGCCGATTCGTTGGTTCGGGTTTTACTGAATATGAGGACCTTATGTAGGTGATTCTTTGCCAAGGTCAATATGTGGAATTCTGTTCCGTGAAATCATATACATAGTTCGATTTTCTTGATATCTGGAACATATATAGTTCTTTGCCTAAACTGATATGTGGAAAATTCTTTTTCATATATTTCAAAGTAGTAAAAACCTGAAAAAACCTTATAAGAACCATCTTAGAATTTCATGTGGACGAAGTCGTTGGCAACCTTTAATTTAGATAAAAAAGGGTGACAGTCTTAGACCGGATCAAAAACATGGTCGTTCCACTATAAAGATCCGACTGAAGGGGAGGGAATATTCGGTTCAAGTCGCCTCTTACGACAGTCATGCCTTGTCGCGAGGGATTTCATGAACTGCTAACCCGCAGGGGTAACTTTGAAACAGATCAACATTTCTTTTGGCAACAGATTTCTTTTAAGTTTTCCTTGCTTTGTTATCTAATAGAGAGCCCGACAGCTACAGATGATGGGTGCCTACCAAAATGTATGTTTTCTTTCTAATTTTTTTCCAATGGGATCCAAATTTAATAAAAGATAATCACAGGCTCTTCTGTTAAAATCTGCTGTTTAAGTGCGTAAATTAAATTGCTTAATATTTTTTCTCACCAAATTTTGTTTTCCTACAGCTTGGGCCATTCAATGCTACTCATGTGAGTCGGCTTACCACTCTGGCTGTGGTGATGAGTTTGATCTGGAGAACTTTTTCAAATTGGACTGCTCACATGTACCGCCGCCGCGCTATTTGGAGAACGACTTGGATATGCGAAATGCCACAGCTTGTATGAAGCGTTCATATAAAGGTAAGAAATATTTCAAATTTTCAATTTAAATATATTTTAAATTTTATTTTTTAATTATTTACTAAATTTTTATTGTTTCCAAAATGAAAAAAAATCGTGCCGTGATATTTTGAAGTCTGCATTTGATTTTGGGGAAAAAAATTTAAAGTTCTCACAATATTCCAATACTCCAAAATATGGCTCTAACAATTTTGAGACGCTCCAAGTACCTCGGAGTAATATTAGGCACAGCTTGGAAGTTGTGAAGATGCTAACTGTCCAGCGCTAAACACATTAAATTTTACTCTATGGAGCTTTGGGTTGGTCTACTGCGAACATCAAAATCTCATATAGAAAGGCATTGGAGCGAATAAGATAGCTGAGGTTGAACTCTGCATAGCAATAGTACTAAGAACTATTCCAAACGCAGCCCTCACAAGGTAATCCACCCTATCATCAATCGGTATTGTAGTAGAAGGAAAAGTAGGCAAATCCGTTATGAGATTGGTGATGCGTTTTCTGAAAGAACCTTCAGGCAGGTGGGTCAGTAAACAAGGGGATGTTGCACCTATGGACCACATACATGCCGTGCTTCATCTGGGAAAAAAAGTCTCCAACTACAACGCATTGAAATAGAGTGGATGGTACAGGAGCTGACAGCTCGCCAGCGGAACTGTAAACATCAACACGGATAACCCTTAAGGCATGCAATATTTTCCAGAAGGAAGTCTTCGCGGTTAGCTGATGGCCATGAATTAAATACTTCATAAAATGCCCAGAGAAGCTGGCAGGTAGTTAATAAGCTGCCTGTGTTGAAGCAGCTGCATATCTACTGGGTTCCAGGACACAAGAATATTGTTGGGAAATACTTAGTCAGATTGACAAAAGCGGCATTCATCTGGCGAACGAGTTAGTATATGAAAGACGAAAGGCACCAAAGACACACACAATGAATACAATAAAACTTCCGGCAGAGCTGGAAGGCGATCAGGTTGAGCTGTAATGACTGACCTGCAATATCACATGCAATAGAGATGAAGAAAAGCACGACTAGATTTTGCTTACGCAGTCTCGAAATGGTTTACTGGAGTATACAACATTTAGGCACTCTAGCTGCGTTTGACGCCAATTGGAAATGCAAAAGTGCAGCCAGATCTTTCTCCAACTGAGATCTTTCCTAAGGCAGTGGAAGTCTTCCTCTGCTTCCGCTGGCGAGTGCTATATCGAATACTTGGAGCTCTTTCATTCATTTGGACCACATGACTATGCATGTCAATGTCGTCCGTATATCTCGTAACAGCGCATCGTTCCAACGGCTGCGGCATACGCCCTTCCAAACGCGCAGAGGATCATGAATCTTAAGCAAAAAATTTCTATAGAAATTTCCTAATGCGGATTGTTATCGTCTATGCACAACGGGGGAATGATGAGCTTTTTGTGGAGTTTGCTCTTTGTTCGTCAATAGAGGACCACAAAGTATCGAAATCAACAGCGAACAGAATGTTTCCGGAAATTGTCACTTAAACGAATATTTTCCAGCACTTTTGTTTTGTTAAGTTGGTAGCACTGTCTTTAAATATTATGCCAAAATGAGCCCGATCTAACAACCAGTTTGTTTGTAGCAGCTGTTAAAATCAGTCGACCGCAGTTCGCTCTGCGAAGTTTGTTTTACGACCTCAATCGAGTCTGGTAACTTGAGTTTTGGAAACTAAAAACAAAGTCACTTGGGTCGAATCTGGTAAATACAGTGGTTGATCGATGTTATTGAACTGGTTTTTGGTCTTAAAATCGTTCACAACTACAGCTCAGTGCGATGCCACATTATCGTCATGAAAGTTTCCGGAAATTTTTGGCCCAGACGTTTACGACGGATGTTTTCAAATGCCATAAAACGCTCAAACAATACTCTTTATTGACCATCTGTCCTGCTCGAACGTATTCATGTTGAACCAAACCGGGAATATCGGTAAAATGATGTATGGAAACTTTCTAGTCTTAATGCATGTAGAAAGTTTAGGGATGCCGGCTGGAGTGAGTAGTTGAAACATCATCTCCGTTCCTATCCGATTATATCTTGTACTAGCCGTGTACTAGCAACCTCGTTGTTCAGGTGGTGAGCGGACGTTTTAAAATCGTATTTTAAGGCCCTCTTAAACTACGCAAAAAAGGTGTGTAATTGGTACTTTATAACCGTCACAAAGATTTTCGGCCCAGCTTCGAGTCCAATTTGTGGTATGCGTCACAATGTTTTTTCAGCAATTGGAAGGATCTACAGTTTATACTCAGCCGCCTTCGAACTGCTGATGATTTTTTTTGAAGGTGCATTTATTTCAGTCCGAAAAACACTCGGAGGGCTTAACATGCCCTGCCGAGGTGCGACCGCAATTTCAAACAATAATTTTCCATTATTAGGATATTGGTCGAACCGGAACTGCAACACTCGACTTCAGAATGGCAGCACGCGAAGCTCCTGCGGCCGCATATAATTACGTGCAATTGAATATATTTTGTCGTTAAGAATTATAATCTATCAATAGAATTAGAAAATTCATACATACATACATACACACATACATACATACACACATACATTTGTAAACAATTTTTCTAACATTTTCAACGGCCAATGTCAATGAGTCACTGTGTGAAGAAAATTGAATTTTTTTTTGTTTTGAATTTTTATTGCAATCAAAAACATTTTCCGAAATGCATTCCGTTTTTATTTTGCTCCCGAACTCATCGCAATTCTCAATAATCGAATATGAATTTTCTTTTCTTTTCTTTTCGTTTCTTTCTTTCATTCGCAGTACGAAACACGCTGAGGGTAGAACGCAATTGCTTTTTTGGTGACGTCAACGCCACCGTCAGCGGTTGCGAGTTGGATCCAACGCTGGAGCAGGCAGAGGCGGTGTCGTGTCATGTCTGCGACAATGAAGATTTCTGCAACCGCAGCATTCAATTGAAGGCGTGGCCGCAGTATTTGGCGATAATCATATTCGCATTTACGGCGAAATTTCTGAATTGGTTAAGCTAAAATCGGGTGTAACTTCATTGATCAACTTTCTTCGGCTCTAATACTCAACTCCAAGTAGTTAGACACTCACACACACATATGTATTGTACATAGATTTAGATAAATTAATTTATTTATTTATAATAATTTTTGTGGAATGCTTTTTGTTTTTATTTTTAGTTTATGTAGACAGCGCGATGAAAATAAAACTCATGTTATTCTAAACTCTTGGGGAGGGTTTAAAAAAAGCATTGTCTTCTAAAAAACAAAAACCTAAAGAATAAAAGAATCCCTTTATTAAGAAATATAAGATTTATTTGTTATTCTCAATTATTATTATTATTATTAAAATCACAAAAATCACATGTTGAAGGGATAACCTATCTGAAACCTTTGTTACCAAACGGCTCGGAGAGCTCCTTTCCGCACCTGACGGAGCTTTTAGTGTTACTCGACGTCAGTTTACAAACCCGTAAGTATCGTGCTGTCGAAGACGGCTTTAAATTCGACGATGAGGTGGTGTGTGTGGATACTTTTCTCGCATGTCTTCTCTAAGACTCTAAGACAAAACGCTCGATAGGACCATATAACTGATATTGAGGAGGATTTTTGCACGATAATTAGCAAAGATAGAGTTGTGCCCTTCTTTGTGGATTCTACAGAGCACATTTTGCTTTCATCCGCCCATATTCTGCATGCGCTTTCAATTTATAATTGATGGATGATTGATTATACAGAAGAAATCGAAAAGTAATACCTTTGACTTTAGACACATTACATTTTATGGGCACAGATATTCATATGTCTTTATGCGACTTTAACGTCAGGTGGACTAAGAAGATACAGTCGGCACAACTGTCGGTATGTTCAGCCTCCACGACGAAATATCCCCAAATGGATTGAGGCTCATCTCATAGACTCTCCCGGCCTCTGAGCGCACTTCTCACTAACTCAGTATAAGCTGTAAATCAAACTTTTGGGTTCCGTAAGATCGCAAAAACAGTTGGTACGATGAAGATTGCCACGCTGCAGTTGAGAGGAAACAGGCTGCCTGCCTAGCAACGTTCCAACCGCGCACTATACGTGCGGGGTGATAAAGATAACGAAAATTGAAGAAGGAAGCAAGTCGCATGTGCAGTCAAAAAAACCAAGACCCCGAGATACATGAGTATGAAGAGCTTGTAAAGTTGGTTGGAAAGGATATAGCTCGGAAATTCTACGAAAGAAATGAACTTTCCAGCTACTGATGCAAAAAGCGTACTGAATTTCTGTAGGAAATAATTCTCCAATCTGTTGAATGGTACAGAAGATGAAGCATCAGGAGCTAGCGAGGCCGCCACCCCAATCGATGACTATGGAACAAATGTTTCATCGAGCGACTATAAAGAAGTTCGTATAGCAATTGCTCGCCTGAAAAACAAGATAGTTGGCTGATTGCGAGCTTACCATTAGCTACACCTATCTTGAGACCGAGCATTTATTATGTACATTATTCGAGCGAATTAACCACGTCCAGCACGCATTGAAGAAGATGTAGCCGCCGTAGCTGCTTCTGCAAGAACTGTAGTCACTCGACCTTCCCAAGCGACATCGCTTCGCTTTATGTGCTCTTGAAAAGTTTCAAGTCAATGGCGACTCTTATCGCCCCATGTTAACCGCACTGTTTGATGCCTGAAATTGAAGCGCGTGATCTCGGCGACATTTGGTTTCAACAAGACGGCGTCACTTCCCACACCTCGCATCAATCAATGGTCAGCAGATAATTTCATCGTGTGATATCACAACGTTAGACTTTTTCCTGTGGGAATATGTAAAGTCTAAATCCCGCTTCGATTCATCCATTGGAGCAAAACACCACGCCAGTTACGAGTCTTTGAAAATTGGAATCAACGGATGGACCGTTTGAGGCGTAGCGGCGGACAAAAATTGGAAAGAGATAATCTTCAGAAAATAAATGCCCAGAAATATTCTTTTGACATTCCCCATTAAATTAGAATTTTCTGTGTTTTGTTGTTTAAAAAAGTGGGATACCTCGAAATGGATCACCTTTTATTAAATTGATGTAAACTGACGCCGTTTCACTTTTTCTGTACCGATAGTCAGCTTAAAACGCTTGAAGCCAAAAATCTTTGATGGACTTTTATTGCTTCTCAAAAATCAAGACAAATTTTAGAGATTCTGCCGGGATTTTATATATACTAAATAAAGTATTCCTTTTTTTATTTAAATATAAAAGTACAATATGTGTACATTTGTTGAAAATTTGAATGAAAAGTAGCATAAGTTAAGGCGTTGGCCGAGTCGTGAAGTAGACCGTCCACAAGACGCGCGGTAGTTCGCGGTAGTCATAACTTTTTTTCTGAAATCAAAAATTCAATTTTTTTCTTCCTTGTCTCTGAACGAAGAAAAATTAAAAAAAAAAATTAAAAATTAAAAAATTGAATTTTTGGTAGAATTTTTTACAAAAAAACGTAATTTTTTGCATGAAATTAGGCCACATATTGGCTTGTAAAATGAGTTGACACCAAAGATAAAATAAATCTTTCGTTCAGGGACTACAAAGCCATGCTTAAAAGAACTGTGGAAAATTTGACCTCGATCTCTTCAAAAGCCGTTGAGAAATTTTGCCTACCGATTTCGATAAAGTGGTTTTAAGAAAAAAGGCGTTTAAAGTTTCGTCATCGGTCAAGCCATGAGAAAGTCGGCGGGTTGCAAGGCTCTCTAATTTCTACAGTTTCGTCTCGACCGAATTGAAACTTGGGGAAAATATTCCTGATACTTTGTACTTTTATACAAAAAATTCTCAAAAAAATGAATATTTTGAATTTTCAAGGCCTATCGAAATGTATGCCTAAAATCATGTTCATCTATCACTCGAGATAATGAAAAAACAACTTATTATATATAAAAGAATATTTGGATTAAGTATCTGTTAATTATTTAACTAATTAACAGCTTTCCTTTCATTAGCATTTAATTTTTTAATTTTTCTTTTATCAAAATAAGGAATTTTACCTTATTGTATATTTAAACGAAAGAACAACCCTGCAGGAAATATACTAGTTGTCAACTATGATTCAAAATGTAAACTAATTTACACCAACTAGTTCATCTTCATTCATTTTCCATGTAAACAACTGGTATTTTGAACACGGCGATGACCTACGAGCTGACAGTTGTCCTACTATGCATCAGCTTTATACTAGTTGTATACTAGTTCATTTAGGAACTGAAGCTTGCCGATGTAGCAACAACAAACGCTGGTGGAAATTATTATTTCTCCCGTTACTGGTGGACTTCATTACAAATGGCGAACTGGTATTATTTTATCTTTAACATACTGGTATTTAACTACAGGTTTGGTGTACTAGTGGTTATCCCCTGCAGGGAAGCTACATACATACATATAAAGGGTCATTTTTTAGCTATTACCTCTTTGGCAACACTGGTTTAAACAGCTGACACACGTTTGGTGTTTCGCTATCAACTATCTTCAGTTCGGCCTATAATTTAACCACGAATAGTCTTACAAACGAACAACGCTTTCAAATTGTTGAATTTTATTATCAAAAAAATTGTCTCCAGCGACGGAGCTCATTTGTGGCTTCATGGGTGCAGAATTGTCATTTTTGGAGTCAAGATCAGCCAGAAGCATTTCAAGAGCTACCAATGCATACAGAAAAAGTCACAGTTTGGTACGGTATATGGGCTTGTGGGGTTATTGGACCGTACTTCATCAAAGATGATGTGAATACGTAAGGTAACTCTGAATGGTGAGCGCTACCTTGAAATGATACCAAACTTTTTTTTTGCGCAAAATACTAGAACTTGACTTGCAAGACATGTGGTTTCAACAAGACGGTGCCACATGCCTCAGAGCACGCCTGACAATGGACTTATTGAGAGGCGAGTTCGGTGAACATTTAATTTCACGTTCGGGACCGGTCAATTGGCTGCCTAGAGCGAGCGATTTAACGCCTTTTGGCTATGTTTGGTGGTGCTATGTTTAATCTAATGTCTATACACACAAAGCCCGCTTCAATTGAAGCCTTGGAGAACAACATTGAAGCAGTTATTGGTGAGAAACCGGCCGAAATGTTAGAAAGAATATACCATAATTGGACTAAGCGGATGGACCATTTGAGGCGCGGTCACGGTCAACATTTGCATGAAATAATCTTCAAACATTAAATTATGTTGACCGTAATATCGAGTCAAATAAAGATTTCATGCATTTTACAAAATTTTATGTGTTTTTTTTTTTTTTTTTGCAAAACTTTCCGTTAGCTCTTAGAAGATCACCCTTTATATATTTGTATTTATATATATGTTTACATATCTAGAATTATCACTCTCACTCTCTTTCACCGCCAACGCAAAATGATCTTTTATTTTTAATTTTCACTCTCCGTCATTTCTTTTTTTTTTTTTTTTAGTATAAAACTTGCCCAAAATACATTTAGTTTTGTATCTAAATGAATTCATTCACATAAGAAAAATAATTCATATTTTATTATTAGGTTAGTCGCTGTGATTTGCGTAATTTTTTATTTTGTTTTTTAATTTTTTTTTTTATATTATTATTTTTTTTTTGTATAGAAAAGAACGGAGATGAATGAGGATGATAAATACTATTAAAATATATTTTTTTCTCGAGGCTGCAATTTAACGTCTTTTCCTTTCTCCTAATAATTTCCAACCCAAAAAATACATTTGCAATATGAGTTTCTCAAAATTAAATAAAAATTTAATAAGTCTAAAAATTTGCCTACAAGAAAGCATCAACCTAGGAAGCAGTCGAAAATTATATATAAATTAACATCAGCATAAGTCTAATCAAGAGAGAATTTTTTTCCCATTTTACTGATTACACTTTCTCTCCAAAAAAAATCTCAAACATTTGGTAGAAGATTCAGTGCCGCTCTATGTGAATTGCTGCATACAACAGTCAGTTGAGTGAATCCGTTTTTGAACGACGTGAGCGTTGAGATTTGGCACAAGGAACTTTTGCTCATTCGCATCGCAGCAATGAAATCTTTAATGATATTACTAGGCATTTATGCCTCCATAACAGCTGGTAAGTTTTTAACTCCATAATCCTGTGTGAATAATATTTGAAATTTGATTTTATCCATTACCCAACAGTGCTCAGCATTGAGTGCTACGATTGTGAGTCAATGAGTGATCCGCGTTGCAATCAATACTTCGAACCGGAAGGTGTCAAGCAAACGGACTGTGATGAAGGGGATATGCCTGAATATTTACATAAATATGAGCGTCGCATTAAGGCCACGGGCTGTTTGACGAAGGTGCATGAAGGCTGTAAGTAAGAAAGAATTAATTTCAAGGGAATCATTTTGGTGTTCGAACACGCGAAAATACATTAATATTCATAAATCTCCGCATAGTCATGAGCGAATGTTAAATTTCCAAATCACGATTAACTCAGAAACCGTAAAACTATCAGGTGTACAACTTTGCTTCCGCCGTTTTTTTTCAAAATTAAAAGCTTTATTGCGAAAAAGTGCTTACAGATATATTATTCAAAGTATTGTCCTTCGCTAGCGACAACTTTCTCCCATCTTTCCGGCAATTTTCGGATCCCGGCTAGAAAAAAGGAGTCCTCTTTTGACGCTATCCATGAAGCAATCCATTTTTCCAATTCTTCCTTCGAAGGATTGAAAATGTTGTTCTGCCAGGCAGTGTACCATCGAACGAAATAGGTGCAAGTCAGAAGGGGCGACATCTGGGGAATACAGCGGGTGGGGCAAGACTTCCCATTTCAGCGTTTCCAGGTACTTTTGACCACTTTTGCGACGTGAGGCCGAGCATTGTCGTGTTGGAGGATGACTTTGTTATGTCGCTCTTGATATTGTGGCCGCTTTTCTTTTAGCGCGCGACTAAGGCGCATCAGTTGCGTTTGGTAGTTGTACACCTAATAGATAGACTGAGAGTTGGAAGGATGGACAAATGGAATTATGGTTCTCTGTAGTCTTCCCAATAGTGAAGCTATATTCAAAGTCAGCGCATAAAATTCAATCTTCCAAACGAAAATTATGGGCATTTCTGAAACCATTAAATGTGAGAAGACAAAGTGAAAATGAGTGACAGTTAATAATTATTCCACGAGAACACAGTGAATATGATTGGGGTGCCTGGTCACATGGCTCCCACTGGCGCCACAGGTGAAACAGTTACAGTCGACTGTTTCAATCCTCTCAGTGTCCTCAAGTATTCTATAAAGTAATAGGCGTTAAGGCAGAGTGGATAGCAAACAAACCAAAGTTTCACTTGCCCCAAGCAAAAGCGAACTTACTTGAGTATTCTTACTTGATCCCTGAGATATCAGCTCTACCATCTAAGTAAGTTTGATGCAGATTATATACAGGAAGGGATCTCACTCAGGATTACTACCTTTGCAAATGCCTGACCTTCAGTCCATTAAATGTTGTATTTTCCACGAAAAATATAGATTAAGACCAGAACGTTTCCGTATATCGTTCTTTTTTCTTTCATTTCAACGGGAGACACGGTCAATAAAGAATATTATTTGAGCGTTTTGAGGAGTTTGCGCGAAAACGACCGGAATTGTGGGCCAAAAATTTCTAGAAACCCTCATGACTGGTCTAATGTTATAGGAATTTGTATCAAAAACTCGAATAAATTCAAAAATTTGCTTGAGGTGCAAACTGTTCAGGACTTCTTGCGAGAGTTCTCTGTTTTATAAGCATTGAACAGATTTGAAGACTTGAATATCAATCACCGAAATAAAAAAACGCAGCCGAGAAGTCCAAATTTCATCCAATAATGCGCGAAATATTCTCTTCCAAAGCGTCAATAAGCTTGACCTCTACAAAAAACTAGTACGGCGGTGTTAAATCAGACGATCTTGGAGCCCACGCCGCAGGCCCACAACGTGAGATGATACACTCACCAAAAGTGTTCTTCAATAAATTGATTGTTTCGATGGGATCATGGCATGTAGCACCGCCTTGGAACCAAAGGTTGTATGCATCAACGTCCACCAATTCAGACGCGAAAAAGTCATTAATCACGGCTCTATGGTGTTTCCTCATTGACTTCAATACAAAATGGCCGACTTAATTTTTCCGGGAATATGAGCCAACGAACGCAGCAAACAGTGATTCTTGAGGTATTAAGGGCGTCATGACAATGGCTTTTACCACTCGAAATGCGTTAATTTTGTTTCGTACCCATTCAACCAAAAGTGATCTTCGTCGCTAAACCATAAACCAAATTTTCAGAACTTGTAGAAAATTTACAAAATATCAAGTTAGAAGTTCGTTCGTTTTTATCTTATTATTTTTTCAAATATGCATCGTTTTGTTCGTAAGCTTGTTACCAACGAGATGCACCTCTCCTGTCATTATACCCCTCTCGCAGAAGGCTGCCTTCCTATTGGTAATAAACTCGGAGAGCCAATTTTCACAGGCCTCTCTTGAGGCCAACTTCTCACCATTAAGCGCGTTCGCCATGGACAGGAAAAGGTGGTAATCACTTGGTGTCAGGTCCGGATTATAAGGTGGGTGCATCAGGACCTCCCATCCGAGCTACTAGAGCTTCTGGTGAGTTACCAAAGTCGTGTGTGGCCTGGCGTTTTTCCTGATGGAACACAATTCGTCCTCTGTTGATCAAAGATGGCCTATTTTGGATGAGTGCTGCCTTTAAGCGGTCGCAGTAGAGGGCCGAATTGAGCGTTCGACCATAGGGTAGCAGCTCGTAATAGATGATTCCTTGCTATTCCCACCAAACACACAGTAAAACCTTCCTGGCCGTCAATCCGGTCTTAGCCACCGTCTGGGCCGCTTCCCCGAGCTTTGACCAAGACCATTTGCGCTTGATGTTGTTGTAAGTGACCAATTTTTCATCGCCAGTCACAATCCGCTTCAGAAACGGTTCGATTTTGTTGCTATTCAGCAGCAATTCGCAGATAAAAATTTGGTCCATCATGATTTTTTGCGTTAGTTCGTGTGGCACCCAAACTTCGATCTTCTCTTTGAATCCAAGGTTATGCAAATGGTTCCAAACGGTTTTCTGTCTTATCCTTAGTTCCTCAGCAATTAGATAAGTGCTCACGTGACGGTCTGTTCCACTATTTCCATGATTTTAACGCAATTTTCGACGACAGGTCTCCCGACGCGTGGTGAATCTTTGACATCGAAATTACCGGAACGGAACCTAGCAAAGCACTTTTGTGATATACGTTCGTTTACTGTATCGGACCCATAAACTAAATTATTTTTTTCAGCCGTTTTGGCTGCTTTTTCGCCTTTGATCGAAGAATAATGGTAAAATATAGCGAATTTTCTCTTTGACGAGCGCTCACAACGTGCTGACTCCATCGATCAAAAAACTGTCATATACAAATTTTTATCCCGAATAAACATGTCTTCAGCGCCGTTTAGTATGACATGGTGCGCCATCTTTTAGATAAAAACCGAACGAACTTTTTACTTGGCCTATGATAATAGATTTAAAAATCCTTAATTTGTTGATACAATATATATGTATATATGCATATCTTTTCTATATTATTTACTAAATTCTTATTGTCAATATCTCATTTATTAATTTGTATTTTTGTATTTTTATTCTTCAATTTGTTGATTCTTCTGCCTTAGTGGACGGCCGCCGCTACTACATTCGTCGCGCCTGTTACTACGGCGATCCGGAAAATACAGTCGAGGCATGCGAGACTCCCGATTCGTATATACCGTTTGTCAATATAATTTCATGCACAGTTTGTACCGAGGATTTGTGCAATGTAAATGCTGAGCTGAATGGCGGGCATCATGCAATGGACTACTTTTCAAAACTCACGCTGGTCGTTGCAACAGTTGCAGCGTTGATTCTAAATAACGTTTGAAATTTGATGGTTTATTTTTTTTTTTTTTTAAACGGAATGATTTTTATATCGTAAAAAGTCAGTGGAGCATAATCAATAAAGAAAGTGTTTAATTATTTCAAATAAATTTTGTTGTGTAGTGATCAGGCATACAAAAGGTAGGTTAAGTGGTTTTATCCACTTGTCATTTTCAAATAGTGTATTTTTTTCAATTCTTCTAATGTGCATACATATATTTGAAAACATTTTCCGAAGTCTGAAGTTGATGCGGCAAATAGTCTCGGAGATATGATCGTATCATTAAGGGATGCCTCGTCGTGTTCGAAAAGAGGCGAAGCGCAAGGCGGAGTAGTTTAACTTAATGTAATTGGTTCGCAAAAATTTAAATGCGTTTATCCCGAAACGCTGTTTTCAGAAACAGTTCGGCTTCAAATTTTCACACGACCTTCTCAGGCATATTTGTTAAATATTTAATGAAGGCATAAAATTTTTGACAAAAACTTCGATTTTTAAGCCACTTGAAGTGTAGAATTTCTCACAAAAAATTTATTTACAATTAACATTTAATTTTTTTTTTTTTTTTTGAAAAATTGCTGCTTAAAAAAAATGAATTTTTTATGAGAAATTCTACACTTCAAGTGGCTCAAAAATCGATCATTCATTATCATTATTTAATAATTAAAGGTTGGATGAGTAATGACAAGGGAGTTTTGACACTCCCTTACAAATGGTACATTTTCGAAAGTAGCAGAAGGAGAGATACAATATTTTCCTATTTGCAAAACGGCTATATACTAACATAGCCAAAAAGGGAAAAAGTAGGAATATTAGTATTTGATTTAATCGATCTGAGTAGGATTTCCAGCGCTACTTTTTACATCGTGACAACGCGCCAGGCCACACTGTGGAAACAACAAATAGTTTTATTGCGATCTCTGGGATCAAGGAAATGCGTCCAGCACCATATTCCCCGGATGTAATATCTTATTTGGTTATTTCCAAAAATTTAAATAGATTAAAAGTCTAGTCTTTAATATCAACGGGTAGATAGTTAAAGTGTTTAATGCTGAACTTGATGAGCTTAAAAAGTAAGATTTCAAAGACGGTTTTCAGAAGCGGATCTATAGGCTTAACGAATGCATTGAATTCAATGGCGATTATGTAGAGAAGATCAAAAGGTCAAAGATTGCGAATAAATTCAAAAATAATTTTCATTTTTTTCTTCCAGTCAACTTACCGAACTTTTGTGCCCTCCTATATATTTAAGACAGTGAAATGTTTGTAAATTTTTTTTTTTTTATTTAAACAAATTTGTTGAAAGAAGTCTTTTTCCTTCCGAATAATTCCTATGAAATACTTTCGAAAACTAATATATTCGTTTGCAGCGGTACGTAAGGAGCTTAAAATGCCGTCCCACAGCTCCCTTAAGGCGAGTTGCTGATGTGTGCTCTCTGAGGACAGGAAAACAAATCGAGTAGAAACCGTTCGGCTGTGGGTTGCAGTTTTTCGACGTCGAACCTACCTTGTGTTTTTGGCAGACATTTTTTGCTGCGCAAAAGTGGGTGCTACAAGGTAGTGGTCCGAGTCGATGTTCGGTCCTCGATGCGTACGCACGTCAATAACAGTGGAGACATGTGCTCCGTCTATCATAACATGATTGATATGGTTATGAGTTTTCCAAGCTGGAGAACGTAAAGTAGCTTAATGAATTTTCTTGTGCTGGCATTTAGTACTAGAGACAACCATATTTTATACCTCAAGCAAATTGGTAGACTTAAATATCTAACATTTGAGCTGAATATACTTTCTTTTCACACCGTCGCTTTGAAGTTGCCAATTACAATTTTGACATCGTGGCAGAGGCAGTGCATATAAGTATACTCAAGGTGCTTTTAAAAGGCATCTTTGGCCATTTCGCCCTTCTCTTCTGTCGGCAAAATATATAAGAACTTCGTCTTGGCGCGAGGAGACTTTGATCCAGAACTCCCCCAGCTCAAATCCGACATCACACTACCGCTCCTTTATATGACCGCTGTTAGGACCTACTCCTTGGATGGCGTTAATGTCAGCTTTAAGTTTTAGAAGGTCATCAACCAGCGTCACCTTCGCAGCTAAGAATCCAGATGATTCCAGGTATCATAAATGCACTTACATTAGAGCCCTTAATGCGCACAGCCACGCTTACCGTATTGATCAAGCTTTTGCACACATTTATAAGTCAACAACCGACGTCCGGTCGTCCATGATGAACAGACGTTGCAATTAGACTTCAGCCAATCCCTAAACCGAATATGTCGGCATAGCTCCAGTGACGCTTCTGCTCTCTTAGCCGCGACTCAAAGCTCCACTCGGATTGAGTATCGTACCTTGCGCAAGAGTTGCTCACGTTTCCATAGTGCGCGTAGTGGACCCAAGAGTAGGTAGGTATTAAGCTTATCCCTACCAATGTGACCAGAAGCATACCTACACAGAGTTCATAACAGGAATACACAGGGTTTGAAATTCGCTGCCGAGGGGTGACTGCAAAGAGAAAATTTAATTTTCTATAATTTTGAATGTTGGTCGAACCAGGGCTAGAACCATGTCCGTCAGAATGACAGTACGTAATGCTACGTCAAGGAGATTACCTTTCAATCATGGCTGATAACCGTGATTTGGGCATCAAGTCGAAAGTTGTCAGACTGCTTCTTTCCTTCCCTGTGGTTGAGGAGGTGGACCATGCGTCGACAATCATTGATAGAGTATTAGAGGCGTCCGTTTGGGAAGGATATTAATGACTTATGTTCAAAAGTGAACTGTTTATCTCCCGATGACCTTTCCCACTGCCTCACTGCTGGACGTAGCAGTACCGGCTCAGGCTGAATGTGAAAGTCGATGGCGTAAAAATTTCGACTATAAACAACCCAATGTTAGTTACATTCGACAGCCTGAACTACCTCACTCCGCGTAAGACTGCAATTGCCACACAATTACAAAGTCGCATCAAAATCCTCACAGCGTTAGCCGACAGCAACTGGGGAAAAGGCGAAGAAGCAATGTGCGCAGCATACAAGATTATTGGTAATTGTGCTGCTCCGTTCTGGATGCCGTGGGGTAGGGAAACGTAAATGGAGAAGCTACAGACATGACCTAGCATGATAGTAAACCTACTCATATCGCAAGACTTGCACAGCGAAACATCTAAGCTGCGCGTTAAAATGGAAAAATACTTTGCTGCTTAAGCAATTTCTGCTGCGAAACTACCGTCGAGAACAACCCCCACAAACGCTGACTAAAGCCGAACCAACACCAAGGCACATCTGGTAGGGAGAACTCAACTTTAAGGACTTCATTCAGTACCATCTACAACAACCGCTGGATAGGACGGCTTGCACACAGACATTAAATGCCATTCACCGAGAGTTCGTCAACACCTTCCTGAACTCTCTACCAATGTATGGCATTCTCAGGGCGCTACCCATTGCAGAGCACAAACGCCTCGTGAGTCGCGCGTAATACTAGCACAATTAAGATATGGATACTGTAGATATTGTAAGAGACTAAATTCCAACCTACCCAGGCTTGAACCCGGCATAGTCAGGGTAAATCCTGCGTGCAATGAGTTCCCGCATGACATTAACCCCCTCCTTGTATACTCCCATATATATAACCAAGGCATCTAACTTCCTTTTCACCACTGGTACCAACCCATTCGAAACAGTTTGCTTTCTGTTACGCCATTAGATTACTTCGTTGACTTAGACTAATCCTGCCTGCTCCTAGGCAGGACTGGTGAAGCGCTACAACAACGAAAACCATAACAGGATGAGCTGACGACTGAGTAACGATCACGAGCGCGACTATAACGGCGATGGCAACCTTAAACGGGGAGGGTTTTTAAATAAAATGCCCATGAAGATTTGTTTAAATATTTTTAAGCACAACATTTTTTCCTTTTGTGTGCACTTTTTATTAAATTATGACAATTTCTTATATTTTAAATTATTATTATTTTTAAATATTTCATATTCTCAACATATACATACAATATATCATATACATACATATATAATAATTTAAATCTTACGAGTTTTGAGTAATAATAGCGATAATAATTATTAAAAATTTTAATATATTTATTGTAACAGTATTTTTTTTGTTGCTTTTTGTTTTTTTTTCTTTTGTTTTCTTGTTATTTCTTTCTCAATAATTATAGCGATTTTATGTACGAGTATGTATGTATTACAACACAAAGAATTATTATTTATTCATATGCATACTTTAATTAATTATATGGGCGACAATATTTCATTTAATTTTATTTCGAATGAATCCAATAGTTGTTATTTAATTATTGTATATTTTTTTTCAAGATTTTCTTTTACGTGTTGTTGTAGTTAAATATAAATAAACACTTAGTACAACAACTACGTTGACGGCATTGGAAAACAGTATGTGTATGTATGCTATATGTGTTTTTAATACAATCAATCAATTATGTATGACTTATATGTGTATAATGTATATATATATATGTATGTATAAATGTATATATGTGTTTATGATTATTTATAAATGTTAATTCGTTTGCCATAGTTATGAGCTGAATTTAGAAATTACATTTAAAGAATTTTATTATTGTTATTGTTGTATGTATGTACATACCTCTATGTGTGTATGTACGTAATCAAAAATTTATTCTCTACACATTTATCTATATATAATATTTATATACATACATACATATATAACCAATATAAGATAAAGTTGTATATTTATTTTATATATTAATTATACATATATATAGTACACGTATATAATCAAATAAGCACATTTACATATATATGTATAAGGATTTCATTCAACGCACATATTTAAAAAAAAAAACTACACATTTACTATAACAAAAGTATGCCTACTTGCGTTGTCATATATGTATATGTATGTATTTTAATTTATATATACATACATACATATATTTATTGCTAAAAAAACGTACAGCCAATTCAACTATTACAAGTAGTCGTGTTCAATTCGCATAATAATAATTAATAACTTATTTTAATACGAAACAGTAAAGCAACAAGCAGACATTACATCATATACATATATACATATGTATGATATATATGT